CCCCCCCCCCCCCCAAGCTACCAAATACACAAACAGGGCGTCGTCTGCGGTGAACCTTGGGCATTGACGGGGCTGGTTCTCATGCTCATCATCGACGATGGCCCCCCACACGCCTTGGATGTCGAAGAAGGCATATCATACTGGTGTGTTTGAGCTCCTGCTGTAGGAGGGGTGTTGTAGGATGTATGTGAAAGGAGGGCGCCGACTTGCCTCGTGGGTGCTGCCACCTGTGCAAAGAAGGATCCGTTCAATACAATACAACAAGTGAAAATGATTTTCGGGGGGGACGGGGGGACCGATAGGACCCCAACCAACTGTTAGAAGAACATAAAAAAATAAAAGGAGCGGAGAGAACCGAGAAGGACGAAAGCAGCTATAGCAGCAGTAGACGAAAGCAATACTTGGGAAGGGAGAGGGTTCGCGAATCCTATGCAGCATATGTAGAAACACACACAGAGGACGTTCTTTACCCGCCGTGAACTCCTGCTTACGTTGGCGAGCAATGTTCCTCGAGGCCATCTCATGTACTCTCGAAAAATCGGCAGCGGCAAGGGCGGCAATCGCAATAAACCGGAGACAACATACGCTTCGCGGACCCTTGAAAACAATATTTACTACTTCGAAGTACGAAGTATTCCAAGAGCCGGAAATGGGAGGGACGGAGAGAGGACAAATGAGAGTTATGGGCGAAGGCCTACTACGTAGTACGCGCTTCATCCGTGGTAGAGGTGGCCTAACTAGCTGCACTCTGTGTGACGACATGGAAAGCGCCCTCAGTTGGTGGCTCGCGCCTCCTCTCTCGCAGTTACAGCACACACCGACAACATTGTGAGCATGGACGAGAGATGGACGGAGGGACCGGTCAACGGAAAGAGGGACAGGCAGTTGAACAACTTGTCAATTTGTCAACGTTGGACGTAGACCTGTGCAGTACTGTGTAGTCACGTAGTTGCACACCACACCACCGAACCATGTACTGCAGCAAGACCAGGGGCAGCGATCGCGGCAGTTGACATGCGGTCCGGAAACCCTGCTTCACATGCGGTCCGAAAACAGTCACTGCTCATTGATCAATTCAAAGCACACGAAAACCCGAGAATAACCACGATGATCATGGAGACACAAAAAAAGGCCGGCATATTGTACATACATGCGATGTGGATATATATATTCCGAACACGCTAATGAACGAGAGCAACGATGATAGTTGCTGTCCGTGCACGTTTTAGGGAACGAGTGGCGCGCACGGGCGTCCAACACTAAGAAACAGAGAGACCGTATTCCTCCGAGATGCCCGCTGTAGTGCATGAAAACAGCAGCCTGAGGGATACAAACCATCAAGCACGGTGGCATAGATGAAAGCCCCGCTCACTCAATCGTAATGCAATCGGACGGACCCTCTTTGTCTGTTCAACCGCCGTTCGGGATGCGGCACAGACAAGGCCGACTTGTCGGCCACAGGAGGCGGGAGCTCCTCACATTCGGGGAGGGGTGACGATCTGCGATTCCCCACCGAACCATAATCGAGACTCCGCGAGGTTTGCTTTGTAGCTCGAGATCAGCATTTCGGGCCGGGTCGGGCAAGGGGTGGGGGAGTCGAATGAAACATGGATATTGGTCTGAGAAGCTGAAGCTAAAGCTTCAGTGAAGCTAAAGCTTCAGAATATTCCCTCCCCGGTTGTTTGATCACACATACATTTCAAGGAGTGAAGCCGTGGGCGGTAGCTTGCTCCTAGAGATAGATGAAGGTTCTGTCGTTGACACGCTTGTCCACAACCACGTTAGGATGGGAAAGTTGCTTGTTATTGCTGAGAGACGATTAGCAAAGGTCTGGGATGAAGTGGGGATCCAACTTCATCTCAGGGGGTACACAGAGTAGACAATTCTAAGGGGGTAGGGGTCAGAAGGGTATACCTCCTGACCGACCCGCATCCTATCAACAATAAGATGTACCCTATTCATGCTAGCAGCCACACTCCTTAACACTAGCCCACCCTGAATATCATATGCGCAGATTCTATACTCAAATCGATGCTCAAACCCTAGTCTAAAGCTACAGTAAGATTTCAGCTGATGATTTATGATCATGAATCAAAGATATGACTCTTCACAATACGTTCAAAAGGAGGGTGAGTTGTAGAAATATCCCGAATCAATCCCCCACACCATCATTGAGGTGAAGAATGCGAACGGTCACGAGACGGAACATCGACATATCAATGACAACGCTTGAAGGGATAAAGCTACGAAGAATATACATTGCGGCAGAGCACGCTATCATCCTGAACAGACGACGACAGGGAAAAATAATCAATATCCAGACGCCATACACCACTCTTTTACGCGCACCCGCGCGTATCACCGCTGGAGAAATGAGGGTGACTACCCGAGCGAGTCCAAAATACGGTGACGAAACTCAAAACCCAACAAATTTCCGAACGAATACGGCCTTTGATACTGGACGCGACGCAAAGGGAAAACTCAACGCAATCGAGGACGTTAACGAAGGGCAGGAGAAAAGAACGACAGGCAAAGGCACGGAGAACGATGGCCAGCGTGCCAGGGTACCCAACTCGTATAAGGAGACGGTAGGGGCAAGACCTATTGAGGACCAAGGATGCAAAGCACAAGCGATTAATGCAGGAGATGCGGTCGACGAACTGCCCCATGGCTCGCTGGCGATACGCATCATTCAAAGATATAGTCTACTACACAGAAAGTCGTAGAGATTCACACGACAAGACGGCGACTCAGGGGCGCTACTGTGATGAAGGCGTCGCCCGAAGGTGGCGATGATGGAGACGAAGCAGAACGAAGTGTGGGTGATGACGAAAATCCATGGGAGAAGGCGACGCCACGGGATGGAATCCCGAAGCACCAAGCGTATGCGATTCTGCGGCACGATGGAACTAAAACAAAAAATTAAGATAACACTAGTTGGCAAACAGGCGAACCAGGAAAACGCGGGGAACTCGGTGTCCAAGTGTCCCGAGGCAAACATCACCGACGAAACTTGGGGAACTCTTTTTCCAAGTGTTCAGAGGCAGACTACACCGACGAAAGTTCGGAGGGAGCTTGTTGAGAGAACCAAAGACCAACAACAACAACAAAAAATTGAAGCAAAGGCGAGAGAGAACGGACATGCAGGTCGCGGCAGTTCACTGATTCAGATGAATGCAAGCAACAAGGAAGAAGGATCACTCGACACTGCGTGTCTTGAGGCGGCGTTGCCCCAGCGTCCAAAACAAAAGAGACAAGACAGAAAAACAAAACAAAACAAAATAAAACACAACGGGAGGTGACAGAAAAAAAAAGAAGCAAAAGGTCGGCGAGAAGGATGGCACAAAAGACCAAAATAGGTGGATTGGTATATGAAAACGACGACGCTAAGCAGAAATGGTGGGAACAGCCGACGGTAAGGAGTCAGCAAGGAGCGGAGTGCGACCACGGTTGTCGCCCAGAGGTCGCGAACGATGTTTCTCTAAACACCATGATCCACAGACGGTGTCCAAGGCGGTGGAGTAGAGATGCGCAGGCAGAGGCAGAACGCTAGGGCCCGGGAAATCCAAAAATCGAACGATGTACGAGCCGCCCTGATGAGCACCAATACGTCCGGTCCACCACAATCCATCACGGGCCTTGTACCACAGCCGCGCGCCAACAGGGAGGGGCGAAGTGCTGAAACGGCGAAGCCAAGTCGCGTGAAGCACAAGATCAGCCCCAGGAGGTAAATAGCGTTCTCCACGATTCCGGACTAGCTCCCGTTGTGCCGCGCGAGTCCGAGCCACTCGATATGTACGGTTACCCTGCTTGCTTTGGCAGGCCTCCCGGGACCAGTACAAGAGCATGTGTCGACGGAATAGATCAAGCAAGGTCGGATTCTCGTTCCCATGAAGGAGTAGTCAGGCCTACCCAATGCGTCTGGTACAGGACAGCGAGAACGCCGCTACGGCCCCGCACCAGTTGATTTCCCGAGATGTAGTCGACCTCGAGGGGCCCGACAGGCACCGACACATCATCCGCGGTGACGTGGAAAGGTGGACATTTATCTCCGAAGGAGTGCAGAACATAACGCGAAAGCTCGGCGGGCAGAGATTGCGGCAAGTCGTCCGTCTTGTACGGATTGCGACAGGGCTTGCAACGAAGGACAATCACGCAACAACGAGCTGCCGGGCCGGAAAGATCGGAAGGCAGGTCCAGGTAGAGGAGTTTAAGCGTTGTACTCACGGACAAGTTCGTAGGCCCGGCGCTGGCGATCGACAGCCAGGTTGCAACACTCGAGTTGGTCGCGGGCCAAGCTTTGATGACCACCTACCGTGGGATGATCGAAGACCGAAAGCGGGAGTCGCGGGATGCGTCCGATGTGAATCTCGTTTGGCGCTAATCCAGTAGACTGGTTCACGGAATTGTTGTAGGCAAACTCAACGTGCGGGAGATGTATGTCGCAATCGTTTTGCTGTTCGTTGACGACCACCGCAAGCATCTGGGNGACCGAAAGCGGGAGTCGCGGGATGCGTCCGATGTGGATCTCGTTTGGCTCAAATCCAGTAGACTGGTTCACGGAATTGTTGTAGGCAAACTCAACGTGCGGGAGATGTATGTCCCAATCGTTTTGCTGTTCGTTGACGACCACCGCAAGCATCTGGGCCATCGTGTGGTTGACGCGTTCAGTGCCGCCGTTGGTCTGTGGGTGGTAGGAGCTGGTGGTGACCTTCTTGATCTTCATCACCTCGTAGATCGCCATGGAGATCTTCGAGCAGAAATGCAGTCCGTTGTCCGACAATAACGTAGTCGGACATCCCCACTTGGTCATGTATTGGTTGACGAAGATGTGAGCCGTCCCTCTCGCCGTAAATTCCGCCGCTGTACATGCGAACATGTCGGCTCTCC